AATTCCATAGGTTGGGCGCCACTGCAGAGAAAGCCCTCCTCCGAGTATTTACTCTCCTAATTTCTTTCATGGAGGGTTCCTGGAGAAGGGACTCTCCCGCAGATCTCAGGGGGCGGTCGGGCATATACGGACGTAAGCGCTCGTTAGTGTCTGGTCCCAGGCAAATGCATACAGGAACCTTCCCTTCAACTTGTTTCACACACACATTTACAGCACTTTAGTTATCTACACCTGGTACTCGTACCTGTATTGTACTGGTGTTGTACTGGGTTGATGACTAGTAACAGAAACTATGATATGAGACCATTCAAAGACAAGAAAGTCTTGTCCACTGAGTTATATTTCTGATGGCCCATTTGCCAGGAATTATAAAACAACAGCTGATTATCTCAATTGAAATTGCAGGGAAGCCTTCTGAGAAGCTGTTAACTCATCTTCCAAGACACAATAGCTTTGCTTATTGAGTGTGGAAATGAAACAGCTTCAGCTATTAGATGTGGAAATAATAATAAACACCTTCACAATTTTAGGGGGTTTATAAACGGCAAATGAAGAGACATTTAAAATACTTAATAAGAATTAATTAATTGCAAATAAAAACTTGTAACTCTATTAAAGGAAAGATGCACACAGACCACAGACAGGTTAAAATTAATTCTGGGTAACATATGTAAATGAATTGGCCTGGTGGTATCCAAAGAAAGAGTGTTGGATTGTGAAGCCCTATTACTTTGGCCAAACAATTATCTGAGTAATAAAAGTGTGTGAGTTTGTATTTTCAAGGTCATGTGTGCTTATCAGTTAATGAGCAAAAAATATTGAATGAGTACAAACATCAAAAGTTTGATATATAGATATCAGAAAGAATTAATCCTATTGCTAAGACGTAACACTTCAAGGTCAGAGCATTCCAACATTTCCAGAGCCCTGCCAGGTTCCTTCCTTTACTGTAGTTTTCTAAAAAAAAAAAAAAAAAAATTGAAATGGAATAATTTCTCATGCAAATTATATTTGTGCTCAAGCATGCATGAGTATAACTCCATTTCCAACTTTGGGATTAAACATAGCAGGAATGCAATGAAAGGGCTCAGGGATACCAGACCCAGAGATGTTAGATCTGGGACTGGAACACGTGACCCTGACTCGATCCACTTTAAGCCCTCGTATGTCAAGACTATTGATGCTATAAGCCTTTGGTAACAAGAAATATTTGAGAAATACTATTTCCTGTTCCAGTATTAAGATCTTGAAATCTTTAGTAATGTTCTCCTTTTAATAAGAAGAAATAGTCATCATATATGTTCTATTTTAATGTGATGTCATACAAATAGTAAGTTAAAATAAAAATCAAACGTGGAGTAAGGATTTTTCTATTACTGAAAGATCTATAAGACATTTTGGTTACTTTCTTCTATGAAGTATATTAATTAGCCATAAAGTATTATTTGGTTAACTAGTAGCCAAAGGCTTACTAAATAATAGAACTGTAGCTTGGTAATGCTCAGCAAAGTCCATAATTCAAAAAACATTCACTCATTTAAGTCATTGTTTAATAATCTGGTCATTAAATAAGGAATATGTAGGTCTGAATCATACTCTGAGACTTGCACATTAACTGAAATCTTTAATCATCATGCTTGATGAGTTTTTCTTTGCTTTTTAAACATATCATTCATAACCATATTATTAAATGAATATAAAAGCTATACGTTATAGTGGAATTTGTTTTATAACATATTCTGTTTCCAGAAGAAGATAAAGTAGGAGAGTATTATTGGAACCATAGAAAGGCCTTGCAGAAATCAAGGAACTGTACTTACAAGTGGACTTTCCGTGGGTTTTCTCACAATTTGGACAGTGGTAGATATCAATATCTGGTGCCTCCTCTTCTTCTACACCGACGCAACTAAAAACAACAACAATAAACAATCATTAGCACTTTGTCCCAAAGGCAGACATGAGCAAAGTTATAAGACCTTTCAGGGTAACAGGGATGCGAAAACATTAGTTCCAACTAATTTATACTGGACCTGAATGCGAACACAATCTGTAGTCAAAGGTCACATATGTGAGTTTGCAGTGCTGTTTGTAGGAGGAAAAATCCATTCTTATGCATTCTGTACTTTAAAAAAAATGCATAAAATGAAACTTTTTTAAAAGTATGGGCAAACACACTTCGATCAAGGGGGAAAAGTGTGACGCATGCGCATCCAAACATGCATCCAAGTATGAATCTATTTTTTGCATTAAAAAACAACAATGATGCTACCCAGACTAAGCTTTGAAGCACAACTTGAAGAACCTCGATGAGCTCAAGTTCTGTTAATTTTCACTCACCTTACTATAACACTGAGCATGTGTAAGATCTAACTACATAGAACATGTATTTGAGACCTTGGCCGATCCATTACACAGCTATATAGCCTACATCATCAGGAGCCATTTTATTCATTGTCTGACATGCTAAGAGAATATCGTGTTTCTATGTCTTCCTCAGGCAGTTTTGTCCAATTACAACTGGTCATGCGGATCTGGGTCATGAGAACACAGTGCGGCAGTTACCCTTAATGTTTTTAACATCACTCTATTGCTCCAGTACAGCTGGGTTAATCGTTAAAAGCTCTTGCACCACTTTCATTTGAGTCAAGCCAGACAATCAAGGCCTGCAATTCACACAGCTTGTTTAAAAACAAAAACAAGAATGAATGGAGTTTCACATAACCCCATCTTTCTTCCCCTCCTTCACAAATAGCACTTCACCCAATTCTCTGCTCCATATCATTGGAGCTAGGGAAAGGAGGGAGAAAAAACAGGGCTGGCATCCGTGGGTTGATTGTGGAAAATAATATAGCCTTAAACTCCTTTGGAATCCTAAAGCTGTATTTCCTTTTCTTTTTCAAAGTAGGCTGTTAGTTTTTGTGGCTGCAAAGAAAACTTGAAAATATATGGATGACTTATGCTAAATACTTAAAAGCTAAAGTGTACATGAATGAGATTCATAGCAAATATGATGATTATTATTTATGTTGATTTGTATGCTGCTGTAATGGCCCATATCTGGGCTCTCTGTGTGGTTCATTAATACTAGAATACTCAACTTCCCCTCTTAGTACACCCCCAGTGTTGCCCATTAGCATGGATCCTGACTGTTCTTTACAACCCTGTAAAAAAGGGAGAAAAATGCAACTAATCTGAAAAACTAATATGAAGTATGTAAATAAATGCAAACATGCCTTGTGGCACAATTCATTCTGAATGCAGCAACAGACATTCTAGAACGCAGAATTCTAATATAGTTACAATCGATAACTCCTGAAAATCATTTTTAAATGCTGAATTAATCAATGCATTACTTTTCTGCTACAAAATATAACCCGTTTCCTGATCACAGAATTTAAGTTTTCTGATTTGCCCAAGATATTTGGCTGGTGAAATTCAGCACAGCTACAGAGAAGAAGGACAGATAGCTCGCAGTACTTCTTGTTGCCAAGAAAAAGGTTTTTCACATGACAGATGCTCAGGACACCCATTGAGGTTAATAGCATAAAATATGAAGCAATACAGTGTAGGCTGCAGGCAAGCTGTTAGAATGTAGTCTGATGGCAGAACACTCCATTCAAGGGGCGAAGAAAGTAAATTGCAGAGGAATCCAGAGCCTGAGCTTTAAAAACTAAACTAAACTAAACCAAACACACACATACACATACAAGCCTATTGCATAATGAATGTAGTAAGCCAAGAGCAATCTTTTTCAGAAGTGGCAAATGCCTGACATCTCAGCTTGCAGAAACCCTACTTGGTCACCACCTTGCAATGCAAGAGGGAAGCAAAACTGAACTGAGCCAGGCAGAAGCAAGAAATGGTAGGAATAGCTTTTATTGCAACCACAGACCCGATTCCAGTCCAGAGCTGCCAAAATTCTCTTCGCAGAATCCTCCCAATCGCTATACGTTAAGAAAACAGATATGCTGGTGTTCTGTAGCAGACTCTTCTGAGAAAGCAAGGATGTCACCAAGCCACATGAAGAAAAGCATCTTTCTTTTTTACACCACTGTAAGCTGCAGCTGCATGAGACATGGGTTTTGCCATCTTCCTCCAGTCACAAAAAGAAACACCAGCATAGCTGAAATTGCTCGTGTTTCTGCATGAATTAGGCTGTGGCCAGTTTCTCTTTCACTGCACTGAAGTTCTTCTCTTGAAGTTTTGTTTTACTGAGTACTGTGAGCTCCAGAGCAAAGAGGATACAGTTAGGATCTGCTAGGGAGTAACTGGTGCATTCAGGACTCAAAGGCACATGATTCCATCAACTCCACTCAACCCCACACCCCATGCCACCTTTGATGGTTCCTCCTTCCCCACCAGCTCAATTATTAAATTGATATCCCATATCTGTTTCCCTTGCAAGAAACTATGCCAGCTTACAACATTTTCTTCCTCTCCATTATCCTCGCAACAACTTGGCAAGATAGATTAGACTTAGAGTCAGTGACTGGCCCAGGTGGAGCTTCATTGCCTGGAGGGGCACTAGGACCCAGAGGCTCCAGGTGCCAAACCAGCACTCTAACCACTCCACTGTATTGGCACTGTGCATATCCTTCTTTTCATCCATGTTTCATTTTAGGTGTATGATACCCAGGTCTGCACAAAGTGTTGTTGTCCTGAAACCAGAGAAGTTGGGATAATTTCAGACCTCCTTCCACCCCAGTGTTGGCAGTGATTCTTTCCATCGCCACTCACCTGCAGAGGCACAAAGCTAGAGGAATTGGTACCTGGTGGTGGCATCATTAACCAGACAAGAGGATGCAGGTGATGCGTTTGATGCCCTGGTCTGTATTACTGTGAACAAGGGATCCTATATTTGCATTTCACATCTGCAAGGAAACTTAAGCTCACTCCATAAGGAGCATTTGGGACAACACAATGGATGCATTATGTCCAGCAGTTACAGAATTCTGTGCTCATAGCAAAACAACATTACAAATGTTGGATACATTGTACAAAAGGATAATTATTTATTAATAATTATCCTTTTACAATCCTCACAAATGCAAAGGCCACAAAACATAATACTGTTTAAGATACACTGACAGCACAATCTTATACATTGAGATCAATGAGACTTACTCTAAGGTAAGTGTAAGACTGCAGTCAAAGGAGATGGAAAGCCTTGGGACATCTCAGATAGCCTGATTTCTGAAGCAACCAGCTAAAGCTATAAATAGTAGAGAGAAATCAGGACTTCTTGGTGTATGGAGATTTATAAGCTGTCCTCTCAGTTTGAGCAGTCATCTGGTGCTTCAGCATTCATTTGATCATATTTCTGTTGTTGTTCTCATAGGAAGGTCTGACAAACTAAATGCAATTTCAGCAAAATAAAACTTTTATTTCCAATACACATTATACCTCCGTCAAAAATGTGTTTCACGAGGCCACTCTGTCTTAAGGGATATAATTGATTTCTTTACAACATTTCACTCAGCCATGATGCTCACTTTGGGCCTGTCACTGGATCTCAGCCTAATCTGCCTCACAGGATTGTTGTTTTATTGTTTTAATCTATTTTAAATTATTGTTTTGTAAGCTACATTATAATTTCTGTGGTAGCAAGGCAGGGTATAAATCAAAAATATATACAGGAATAGTGCATGTTCATATGCCAAGCAAACATCTTCTGCCTATTCCTCTAAGCAGATGTAAATGCAATGTTAGATCAAAGCAGGACTATGTTTTAGCACATACTAATCCACACTTCTTAATCCTGCTGTTAACATTAAATGTCAGTGTCATCTATTAGCCACCTAGGAAGGCCTTGACAGTTATAAGCAGACTATAAAAACATGTATGTATGTATGTATGTATAAATGCTAGAATTTTACCACTGCTTAGTATGAGCTCTTTAGTTTACCTGTCCATGGTCTAACTCAGGTCCACTGAGCAAAACAACCCATTATAACAGCTTTCCCTCTAGTTAGAGGAGACTGGATTTGTGGCACAACACATATAGCAAGTTGGGTTGCACTATTTATTTATTTATTATTTTATTTATTGCATTTATATACCACCCCAATAGCCCAGAGGGCTCTCTGGGTGGTTTACAAGCAACTAGACGGCAACTATGACTGGATCTCCCACTGTGGTATTTTTAAACCAAAACACAACTGTGAGACTCTGTGAACTTGTCCACAGCAGCGGCCAGATGTGTTTAGATATTTCCACCTTGCCATTTTTCCAGTCAAAGTTACACTACAATCCCTCCTGAGCTCCTGGTTTGTGCCATAGAGAGAAAATACAGGTAAGCTGTACTTTTTCACATTCTGTATCAAGGAACTATTTGATTGTTTTTACATTTTGCTGTAAGCCGCCCTGAGAACTTTGGCTACAGGCAGCACAGAAATGAAATAAATAATAATTGTAAAACTCTTTATGTTCCCACCATGCAGAGAAGTTCACTTGACCAAGAAATAGCATGGGGGGAAAGCGATTAAAGGTCTCTTCAGCAAATTAGCAGCTCTCTGCAGCCAAACTTCAGTGAAAAGAAATCCTGTGTGACAAGTTGTTTGGCCCTATTTTTTTATCCTGATGTAAGAACCAAAGGACTGGCTGCCGGAGGATTCCACAAGCAGGATAAGAGCACTGACCAAGTTCCCTCCTTCCAAGTTCCCAGCAACTGGTGTACTCAGGCATACCGCCTCTGCTGCTGAGGTTGCATTTACTTGGTTAGTTATTGTTCTTATATTGTAACTGCTCTCTGGGCAGTTTGCAAACATTAAAACCCCATATACAACAATAAAATAGCCAGCTAAAACCCAAAATGCTAAAAACAACACTAAAAAGATACAAACAGCAATAACTCTATATAAAAATTTTAACCCCACAGCAGCAATACAATATTAAAATATAAATATA